TCTCTCCTCTCCTCCCCCTCATCGGCCTCCTGTCCACAACCCTCCTTCTCCTCCCGTCCTCCTCCTCCACCATACGTCTCCACACGGTCCCTTCTTTCCGCGAAGCCCCCGCCTTCCGCAACGGCAACACGTGCACCTCCACCGCGGACAATCACAACTCCTCCTCATCATCATCCACCGCCGACAACACCATCCACATCGTGATGCCCCTCGACACCAACTACATCCGCGGCACGATGGCCGCCGTCCTCTCTATCCTCCAACACTCCACCTGCCCCGAGAACGTCTCCTTCCACTTCCTCTCCCTCCACCTTGACCCCGACATGCTCTCCCTCATGCGCTCCACCTTCCCTTACCTCACCTTCCGCATGTACCCTTTCGACCCAGACAGAGTCCGTGGCAAGATCTCAAAATCCATCCGCCAGGCGCTCGACCAGCCCCTCAACTATGCCAGAATCTACATGCCCGACATCCTTCCCCCACAAGTCGGCCGCGTCATATACCTCGACTCTGACATCATCGTTGTCGATGACATCGCGAAGCTGTGGGGTGTCGACTTGGAGGGAAAAGTCCTCGCCGCGCCCGAGTACTGCCACGCGAACTTCACGAACTATTTCACGGATAGGTTCTGGTCGGACCAGGATCTGTCGACGACTTTCCAAGGGAGGCGAGCGTGCTATTTCAACACGGGGGTGATGGTGGTGGACGTGGACGCTTGGAGGAAAGGAGGGTTCACGCAGAAAGTCGAGGAGTGGATGGCGGTGCAGAAAAGCAAACGGATCTACCACCTCGGATCTCTGCCACCTGTCCTTCTCGTGTTCGCTGGCGAGATCCGAGGGGTGGACCACAGGTGGAACCAACACGGGCTCGGAGGGGATAATCTTGAGGGGAGATGCAGGGGATTACACCCGGGACCGATAAGCCTTCTGCATTGGAGCGGAAAGGGGAAGCCGTGGCTAAGGCTCGACTCGAGAAGGCCGTGCGCGGTGGATTATCTGTGGGCGCCGTATGATCTATACCGCTCCTCAAGGGTGGCTCTTGAAGAGTGATTGATGATAATGGTTATGATGATGTTCTTCGCGTTTTGTATAATTTTTCGTTATGCATGCGACCGTGTGTGGATCGTGAAAACAAAAGAATAAATTCGGGTGGACAGAGTTTGGAAAGATATGTGTAAAGTGCATCCATGCATCTATCTAACACTGCGCGCCATGAGACGGACGCGTATCGACGGATCGTGTTTGTCGTTTTTTCTTTTCTTTTTCTTTTTTTTTTCTTAAATGTTGTCTACATGTGTTTTGGTGGAGATTAATTTGTAGGATATTTTCTTTTTCTATAGTTTCTTTGATTCTTGTATCTATGCAGCAAGGTCGATATTGGCCTTTTCGGTGCCCACGAGGAAGAAAAATGGGCTCTTTTCTGTTTCTTTTCTTATTACAAGAAAATAGGTTATTTCTTTGAAAATAAATATTAATATCACATAATTGTATTTCTCCTTGTATGTATGAACTAGAATTTCAATATAGAAGGTAGAAGGGTTCTCATCAAAATACTAAAGTATATAGCGGGAAGCAATGTCATCAATCCAAAAATGATTCAATATATATGCAAGAGAAAGAATCTCTCTCTCTCTCTATATATATAGAGAAGGGATTATATGAGAATGGTAGATAGTGAAAGAAATAAGAATGATCCTAGACCATTGGATCCATCAAATCAATAGTATTAATCAAGTCAAATTTTAATAAGTGACAGTCAAACATAATGGCAATCTCGTAAATAATTATACATATTATGGTTAAGTGCATAGTTTTTAAACCCGGCCCGAAAATCGACCCGGGCAGGTCTCCGGGTCACCGGGTCACCGGTTCAACCGCCAGGTCACCGGATCAATTGTTGAACCGGATATATAATTTTAAATTTTTTTAAATTATATATAGAGTATTTTGTCTTATAAATATACATAAAAATAACAAAATTAAATATTTTGTATATAAAATTTGCACATTAAAGTGCTAATAATATGTATTTCATGATAAATATTTACCATATAAATATATATAAATAGTTTTATTTTTTAAAAACAAAAAATATATTAAAAATAAAAAAATATAATAAAAAAATACATAAGACCGGGTCAACTGGGTTGACCCAGCCGGGTCAATGCCCCGGGTCGACCGGGTCAATGCCGGGTTGACCGGGTTTGACCGGGTTAGTTGTTTCCCGGTCTGAATAGCCCACCCGGACCGGTACCAGCTCCCGGTCGACCGGGTCCCAGGTCGACCGAGTCCCGGGTCGACCCGCCGGGCCGATCCGGGTTGAAAAACACTGGTCAAGTGTATAGATATAACCACTCAATAAGGGCAAAGTAGACATTGCATGCTCATATTAATCCACTCTCTTGGGCCCACCACCTACACGTGAGTCATGACCACCATCTCTCTCCATCATCCATATCTGTTTCTCTCTCACCTACACTCACACACTAATTCACGCAGGACAATAACAATCACTCCGGCAGCCATCCTGCCACCACAACATATCATCATTCTCCCGCCGGCTGCCACCAGACCACCGCCGTCACTGGCCGTCGTCGCCTCCAGCCCCAGAGTCGTCTCCACCACCAGGTCCCCGACAGCCCGGCCATGTCGTCTCCGCCACATCCGATCCCAACAGTTGGGTACAGCTCTGCCGTCTCCCGCACTCAGTCGTATCCGGCATAGAAGTACGTCATCGATCCACCGGACGCCATCGGGGTGGCCGGAGAATGAGTAGCCAATTTGAGTTCTGCAATATGCCGTTCATGTAACACCGGCGACGCAAGATGGCGACGTGACATCCGACGTCCAGGCTGTTCCCAGTCGGCAGAGGCGGCGGCGGCAGATTATAAGGCAGTGGCGGCGAAGAGGAGTGGTCTGGTGTGGTGAAGCTTGTGGAGGTGTTAATTGATTTGGGGCTTTTTCAAATGAAAATTAGATAGTTTATAGTGACCATTTTGCAAATTTTGAATTTGTAACACATGTATAACCTTTAGGGCTCTTTTTGATAAATGTGCACATGGTGTGTATAAATATGTGCTTTAAAGGTAAGAACAATTAATCCAAATGAAATTTAAAATTTCGAATTGAAAGTTTCAAAATAATGTGTTTAATTTGTCGATTAACATATATAATTAAAATAAACGACATAAATTATGTTATTTATTATAAAAAACATGATTAGATTTAATTTTTTTAAATTAATATTTTATGTGATTTTATGATTAAACATGTTAGTATATAAAAACGAAATATAATGTGCAATCTAACAAATATTAAGGTGCAATCCGCCCAACAATATGGTGCACGGTGTCTGTATGTATTGTGCATATTGAACCAACGAACTTTTGTACCAATCAAATTGAAAATGATCATAATCGAAATAATTTGTTATTTATATTAAAATTATATTTCATATGTTAAATAATTTATTTATTATTTTTATAATAGTTTTGCTTGAAAAAATTGAGTTCGGTTCGTTCCATTCTCTATTCGAGGGATCTTATAGTCGTGATAAAGTGCAGGTGTTATATGATAAAGTGTAACGTATTGTTTTATACAGTACAACGTGTTGATTTATAAAGTGCACTACTGTAAATTTGGTATTTTAGCATGCTTGTGTTTTATGTGGACAAATGATATGATGGATGATAAAATATTATGTAGATTCATCTTTTAGATTTATGTTGTGTGGTATTCTAGCATGGACTATTAACGTTAATTGTAGAGTGTGGCGATAAAATGTAGCTCGTTGTTTTATAAAGTGCAACGTGTTGTTTTATAACGTGCAACGTATGGTTTTATAAAGTGCAACGCATTGTGGTGCGCTAGTTTATTGTGCATTATGTGCAATGTGTTTTCTTATGTGCAAATTCAAATTAAAATCTAATCAAAATAATTAAAACGGATTGATATAACCTAAATAACTTAAATGATTTATGATTTATATTATAAAAATATATTCAATGTCTTTGATATTTTTATTTAATATTGAAAATACATTATATTAAAAATATATAAAATAATATTTTTACTTTATATTTTTTATTTAATATTTTTAATAATTTATGTAATATTAAAAAATTTAAAATGACAAAAATATATAAAAATAATAGTATTTTGTCAAATACTTATATTTATTGGTTGTTACAAATACATAATATAAATATGTGATAAAAAAATATATAAAAATATGATGTTTTATATATTTTTCATAAATTACATATTGGCCCCATGGACTAGATTAAAATAAAAATCCTTAAAATTGTAATTAAGTCCTTTGATAATATCAAATTCTCATTAAAAAAACCCATCCCCCAAGTTTTTTTTTCGGCCACTGTTGCTCCGATCAGCGCACGCAGAAGCGCCGACGACCGGTGGCGGATTTCACGGCGGCGAGTGGATGACACCGTTAGGACTGTACCGGCGGCTGCCGTGTGTGCGACGAGCTCAGCGGCAGCGGAAGTTTGGACGAGACCACCGTTGTACGAGCGGCGGCGTTGCGAGGCGGCAACCACGGTACGATGGGGCGACTGGGCGACGCAAACGAGTGGCTGAGAACGTCGGCGACTGGTGCGACTGGACGTATACCGTGAGCGGCGCCGGAGATGGTCGCTGATACGCCGGAGATGGTTGCTGTGTCGCCGGAAATGGTCGCTGAGTCGCCGGTCGGAGTGTGTGCGTCGAGTGTGTGTGTGTGTGTGTGACTGGCGGAGGAAGACAGTCGCGTTGGTGGCACTGGCGGCGGCGGCGGCATAGGGGGTGGTTGCCGGCGATGGCGGGAGGCTGGAAGAGTCGTTGTGTGATGTGTGTCGGTGGTGTGTGCGTGGTGATTGAGAGAGAGAGAGAGNATGTTAACCATCTCATCAGTTTTTAATTTTATTTCTATCCGGACGTTTAAAATGACAGTTTCGAAGTATGAGTACCATATATGCAATCAAATTTTAGGTGGTAAAATAATAGTCTGCAAGCAAATATCAAGCTTGGAATCAAACAACAAAACAGGAAAATAATAGCAACTAAAATTAATTTTGACAATGTTAAAATAATTATATTTACGCCGAATGATGATGTATCTGGGAGTTTTCAACGTCATATATGCTCGCGACGGGCAGGGGGCAGATCCAGACATTTTGTTGAGTGTGGGCCTAAAATTATTTTCGAGAGATGACAAAATACTCTAAAATGAAAATGTAATTTTCATTCTTTGTAATTGATTTATTCCTAAAAAATTTAAACTCGTAACTATAATTTGTAGTACTTTATACTCAAACTCTTTTACTAACTAAAATTTAATGTCAGATCTCTTTTAAGAGAGTTACGACATGAACCTCAAAATATATCATAGAGATAAAAATAAAATCAGAATATTATATTTATATAAAGGAATTGGATCGAACTGGTCAAAACTGAAATTAATCAATTGATCATTTTGATTTGAACCAGTAAAAAACGTTCAGAATTGGCCAATTGGATAGTTTGAAATTTTTTTTTTTTGAAAAATAAGTTTGGATAATTCAAAAATATTTTTTCAATAAATAAAAATAGTTATTAATTATTGAATATCTATTAATTATTATATTGATTAGTTTAGAAATTTAAATATTTTAAATTACCTAAATGTTCAATTAAAAATAATTTTATAAACTGTCAATTATTTAAAGTAAGACATATTTATAGATATTAATTTAATGTATTGTGTACCAGTTCAAGTGTTGACCAATGAACTTGTAGGTTGGTAAAGCTTGGTTGTTAATTACTAAACAAATAAATATATAAAAAAAAAATAAAGTGAATAAAAAATAAAGAGTAATGCTATTTAGTCCCTTTAATGACAACTTGGGTTACAACCCAAGTACAATGCATTATCAAAAAATTAAAAAATAATGCATTTACACTTGAGTTGTAACCCAAGTTGTCATTCAAGTGTGTTCTATAGCATTCCCATATGTACCATGGCTAGATAGATGGAAACCAAGTAAAATACACCATCACCAACTAATTTTAATTTT